CTAATGAACTTCTGGAAACTCCAACTTCAGTCAAGAGTTTATTGCACAAGAAACTTCATTTTCTAGCCAAAAATGAGTATGCAGCTGTTGAAGATGCAAGAGATGAGATGGAAGGTGCCGATCCTTTAACGACTATCGAACGGCTGAGAGAGACCGTGAGAGCAGAAGAAGAGGCATTGAGGGGTTTATATGCAGAGCTTGAAGAAGAAAGAAGCGCATCTGCAATAGCGGCTAACCAAACAATGGCGATGATCACAAGGCTACAAGAAGAGAAAGCGAGGGTTCAGATGGAAGCGTTGCAGTATCAGAGAATGATGGAAGAACAAGCCGAGTATGATCAAGAAGCCTTGCAGCTGTTGAATCATTTGATGGTGAAGCGAGAAAGAGAGAAGGAAGAACTCCAGAGAGAGCTTGAGGTTTACCGAAAGAAGGTTATGGAGTATGAGTCAAAAGAAAAGAACAAAACCAAAATTACGAATAGCGATGGCGAGGCTGATGAGGATGATAGTAAAAAGGAGGAGAATGAAGAAGAGGATAATTCTTCTGAGACAGATGTGGATTTGGAGAAGATAACACTAGATTGTGTAAAACATATGAGCATGCTTGATGAATCTTTGTCAGAGTTTGAGGAAGAGAGATTAGTGATTTTGGATCAGCTCAAGGTGTTAGAGGACAGGCTGCTAATAATGCAGGACAAAGAATCTGCAGAGGATTCAAAATGTACAGGAGAATTCAGCGAAGAAGGACTAACGATGGCATCAATGGCGAAGAGTTTGCTTCCTCTTCTAGACGCGGCAGAGAACGAATCAGAAGACGGGTTTCAAGAAGTGCCTGAATCCGTTGAAAAGAAGTTTGGTTCGGAAAGTGAGAAGCTAGAGATCATCAAACAAGTTGATAATGTCTATGAGAGGTTACAAGTGTTGGAAACAGATGGAGAGTTTCTTGAAAACTGTATGAGCTCGGCGAAGAAAGGCGACAAAGGAACGGATCTTCTTCAAGATATATTGCAACATCTACGCGATCTTAGAAACATCGAGCTGAGTGACACAATCGAAAACCAGAAAGCACAGGACGAGTGATGTTTTCTTTTTTATCAACTCTCTCACCATTAATTATGAACCAAAAGTTCGGAACTCCCACGGTTTATCCAATAAAAAATAAAGAAAAACACTCTCACCATTAATTATTCAGACAGGTTTCAAGAACCGGAATCAATGTCTTTGCACTGCTCAATGGAGGATCTGAGTATTACAGAAATCCTCAGA